TCAATGCTGATTACAATCATATCAACAGTTTGACTGCTTGATGTCCGGGAGTAAAGAAGAAGATTTTTAAAGATTGCACTATTTTTAGTGGTTTTTGCCCCACCCCCCAGGCCCCAGGGGGGCGGGGACCATGAAATTCACAATTTTTGTTCCCCTTCACCCATAGATGCTATATGCCAAATTTGGTTGAAATTGGTTCAGTGGATTCTGAGAAGAAGCTGAAAATGTTTAAATGTTAACGCACGACGCACGACGGACGACGACGGACAAAAACGGATAGTAATAGGTCACCAGAGTTTACTCAGGTGACCTAAAAAAAAACAAATCTGTAAGCAGTCACGAAATAAAGAGCTACATGTCTTGAATATAACAGATATTTTTTTATAACCCCCCCCCCCCCGCCCGATTGAAAAGCGGGAGGGTATCGAGTAGTCGGTATGTCCGTCCGTCTTTTACGCTTTGGGGTACCCGTCTCTTATTCGCAACTCGTATCATACCACTGAATGAAATCTGATAAACTTTCACAGAACCTTTATAACATATTGCCATTGTGACCTCCTCTTTTACTTTTTGACCCGACACATATTTTGTGTTTCACATGGCAAAACATGGACAAAGTTGTACATATGGGTGACGGGGTATCATTTAATGAGCTAATTGCTCACAGTACCTCTTCTTCTTTTAGCATAAGGTTTTGGAAAACAAAATAGACTTTTAACATTTGAACATAAATGTATTTTTCAGCCATGTTTCGGCGGACTATCAGTTTAAATAATCGATTTTTAGAGGATTTAGGTTTCTCTGGTGGCCCCCTGTGAGCTTACTCTTTTTCGAACTCCAGAGAAAAGGTCTTTTACGAGCCAAGTGGGTTGTCATCCTTGACACAGGGGACCGTTTTACTTAACTGTTGAAAATACCAAAATTCCAAAGACAGAGTAAAACATAAAAAATAAAGCTGGAATAGAAGATGTTAGGGGATAATACTAAGTTCTTATAAATGCTAAAAAGCTAGAACGAAGTATTCTATGAAATCGGAAATAAATTTCCTCAGTTATATTTGATGGTGTGCTGAGGGATGTTGAGGTAGAAATGCTAGTTGATAAAGACTGGATTCAGGAGTGATTTTAGGTGGACGGGGGCTCAAAGGCTTTGGAACACGGTCAAATACGAGGGGGGGGGGGATTTAGAAACCCTTAAGTCGAGTTTGTTTTAACTATTTCCAGAAATTTTTTGTTTGTTCATATTTAATGGAATAATCAATATACTTTAATATATATATATATATATATATATATATATATAAAAATATATAAAAACTGTAATTTTTTTTCAAAATTAAGCAGTTTGAGTATTTTCGAGAATTCGAAATTCGAGTGAATATGACGTCATTTTGAGTTTTGAGCTAATTAACACATTTTGATTTAAACAACTAAATCTTCCATTTTAAAGTGTTCATAATAGTGTTCTACTGGAATTTTACATTAGTTAATTGTACTCGCTCAATAAGATATTCACAAATCATTTCTCCTATGTAAAATACATGAAAAAATTTGAAAAAAAGGAATATCCGCCATTTTGAATCGCTATTTTTACTTTAAACTTACAGCTGCACCATCATTCAATTGTAGAACTGTGAGATATTGAGGAAAAAATTCAAATCTGCAGTGTATGGGTATTTGTAAATGCAAAATCATGAACAAAGAAAAATAAAGAAACAATAGACAAATGAATCAGAGAAAATTCGAATTAAGTGTAAAAACGGCAAAATATTCTGAGTTAATCTAATAATGTAAGCATTTTATTATATTTTTTATAGTTTTATTATTCTCAATAAGATAATCACTCATTACTTCTCTATTTTAAAAGACATTAAGAGAAAATTAGAAAAATTGGATGTCCGCCATTTTGAATCGCCATTTTGACCTTTTTAACGCCATTTTCATGAAGGCCAGCATATTTTTCGGATTCAGCATACTCGAATTAGGTGAAAAAACCATGCTGGACCAAATAATAATTATTTGCCGTTAGAAGTATTTTTTTCTATAAATCGGACCAGACTATTTATATTTCTATGAAATTCATATCCTTTTTGAAGATTTTAGAATTTACACTACCCCAGGATGCTTTCACATAAGTTTCAGTTTTCCTGAACCAGTAGTTCTCGAGAAGAAGATTTTGAAAGATTTTTATTAAATATTTGTTAGTAAAACTGTGATTCCATATTGTGTCCAGCCCAACCCCCGGGTGCTATTAGCTACAAGAGGCAATTGGGTCACATCGCTCACCTTCCTAACTAGGGTGATGTAGTTCTTTAGCAGATTTCTCCTCTTGCTAGACATATTGTTCCCCTTCCCTTTAATTAGTTGTAAACTTTAGAATCTATACAATACAACAGAATGCTTCTACATAAGTTTCAGCTTTCCTGGATTCTAAAAAGAATTTTCCTATATATATCTATGCTAAATTTGGATTCCCTAATGGGACCCTGCCCTACCCCCGGGTCATTATTTAAACAATATAATATCTACACTATACAAGGATGCTTCAACATAAATTTCAGCTTTCCTGGCCCAGTGGTTTTTGAGAATAAGATTTTTAAAGATTTGTTCTATACATTTCTAGGTAAAACTTGGAATTCCTTATTGTGTCCCTGTCCTACCCCTGGGGGTCATGAGTTTAACAATTTAATATCTACAATATACCAGGATGCTTCCACATAAGTTATAGTTTTTTCCTGGCCCAGTGGTTTTTGAAAAGATTCTTAAAGGATTTTTCCTACATATGGCTATGTAAACTTGGATTCCCTATTGCGGCCCGCCTTACCCCCATGGGTCATGAGCTTTAAAATTGAATATCTACACTATCCAAGGATGCTTTAACATAAGTTTTACGTTTCCTGGCCCAGTGGTTCTTGAGAAGATTTTTTGATGGCCCCTACTTTTTTGTCTTTTCTTGATTACCCCCCTTGGCAAGGGGCCCTTTATCTTTACATTTTAATCTCCTTTTCAGCTAAGGATGCATTTTACCAAGTCTGGTTAAAATTTTGCCCATTGGTTCTTGAGAAGAAGTCGAAAATGTGAAAAAATGACAGACGGAGGAACGACGGACAAAATGTTATCAGAAAAGCTCATGGAGCCTTCGGCTCACTTGAGCTAAAAAATTGATGCATGGATTGATATATATTTTTGACTAATTATGGTTTGAAATGACATAAATGAAAATCCCTAAAATGTAAAGAAATTGTAGGTTTTCCTCGGTACTTAGATATGAGACTTTATTTTGCTTTCTATATAATTTTATAGAAAGTTTTGCGAAAATGTTTAATCTTAAGACAAAATCTTATAAAATTTTCTCACCATACTTGGTACACATTATTCAGGTTTCCAAATGAAATGTAAATCGATGAGAAATATTGCTGATTTCTGAAAAAAATAGTGTTATTTATCCTTCATTGATATACAAATCTATCAACACAACGATATTGTACATCATTCTCAATCGATTTCAAAAATACAATTTTCAGCGAGTTCTTCACAAATTTTAAATCCCATGATGCTCAATAAAAGCGTGTAACAAGAAGCTCCAATCAGTACCAATCAGTACCAATAGTTGACTGTTTGTCTAACAGAGGTTGAAAAACATTTAATATGAATATGAATGTTAATTGATAGACAAATTTATCAACAAGGTGACCCTGTTCATCATTCACGATAGATTTCAAAAATACAATTTTTAACGAGTTCACCTATTTTAAGTCCCACGCTGCATGGTAAAAGCATGTAAAAAGCATATAGTTATATTGTCATAAATTTTAAATATATTGATTATCATAAAACATTCCGTGAACTAATGATGCATCTTGACTAAAGAGTACACAGTAAATAGGTAAAATAAACATATCACAAGCAACATAGAAGGATTGCAAATCTCTCTACTCATAAGCAAATATTAACATTTGCAAATTCTTTCCTTTTATGACAATACTAAAAAATGAAATTCAATTTTCACTGATATGCAGTCGGTCACATGATCCAACTTCCTTGCGTATAGAAAGCAAACTGCATGAGACATTTGGAAAGTCTTGACGGTGACGTCATATGACGTATTTAAACGTAATGTTGCATTCAATAACAAAGTCAAAATAGAGCACTGAATGTCTTTGCAATGTGAATAGAAATAAAAATATAAATTTAAGAAATAAAACACCATTTTTAAATTGTCATTGGGATATGACATGAAGTCAGTACATGTTCAAATCTACTATAACGCCCTTTGGGCGTTAAAGAAGTTGATCATGTGACCGACTTCATGTCAATTTCCAATGACACTCCAAAATTGATAGTTTATTTCTTAAATAAAATATGTGGCGTATATTTATATAAACAAGTGACATTTGGTAAATATTTTGATCCCACTGGATACCAAGTTTATAATACACAAGCAAATGAAATGAACATATCAATACAACCAACAAAGTTAGACCACAAATCTGTGTTTTTTAAAATTTGCAATCATGAATGAAAAATTATAAAAAATATTCCCTTCTCGTTCTGCACTTCCATACAAATGTGCACTCTGTGCAGCTACTCTACAATAGGTACAAGCAGTATAGGATGAACATTTACATCAAATGAACTTTCCATTCTCATAAAACTATTTAAAACATGCAATTCTTTAATATTCTACACAATATTAACGAGCTCCTTCATTATGATTGATTATGTTTCTATTTCTTGGACTCTTGATTTGATTGTCTCTAAACAGTCTTGAATTTGAAAAGTTCTATAATATTATACTTTCATCTAAATTAGTTGATTCTGATTTAAGGATGACGTTGACTCAGGTTTCAGAAATCAGAAAGGAAATTTTATAAAGTATGATATCTTAAATCAAAAATTGTTCTAAATGGATAATTTACAAAGTTTTAACTCAATTTGAATTTTAAAATTTCATATTTTATTTAGAAAATATATAGGAACAAAAATTGGTGTATGGTGATGCAAAGGAAATTCGGACTAAATTTTTAAATTTTCATTTTTATCATAATCTTTAATTTTTTGCAATATAAATCAAAATGTAATGATTACAAGTTTTTTTAAACATCATTTTGCAAATTTTAAATTTTTTAAAGGTCATAAATTATTTGAAATAATAGAATGCTATTAAATAAAGAAATTCAAAAAATTCCAGGCAACATATCTCAATAATTTGATCAGTGACCCCATATAATGCAATTACTATGAGAGTTAGTAACAGCAACAAAGGTTATACATGTATGAGGCTTTAAATAATCTAGAGTTCTTATCAGTCAGATTTGATAAATATTCGATTAAAATGGGGGGGGGGGGGGTTATAAGTTTGACAGAGGAAATTCTAACTGTTATAATTATCTTTTTTTTGCCCAAACTCAAATCCTTTCTTTATATGAAGCAACGCGTTACAATTTCTATAATATTTTATTATTCAAAGAGTACGTTTTGTTGCTTGTAATATTTTGTGAGTGAAGAAAAAAAGTTGTCGTAGTGTGAACAATTTAGGTATTTCCTGAGAAAAACTCAGGGGCAACTAGCATTAAAACGACGTCATTGACCTAGTTATTTGAAATTGAATTTTAACACAAGAAATATATGTGTACAATGTGCAATAGGTGGTTTTTCGTTCTTATCAGTGGAATTTTTAGTCATCTGAGTAAAGGTATACCTTAATGCTATACATTTTTTAAAGCTCTATTATCCAATTAATGAAGCCATTATCTCCAACGTAGCACAGTAACATTGCTTGACTACGGGCGATATTCCATAAAAATAGCAACTGCACACTCAGAAGTAATATATGCGCACGGCCCACTGCCATTGAATTTTGTCCGCGAGTTGGACACCGAACTCATATTTTCATTAAAAATATTAAAATTTGTTAAATAGATCTGTTCTTTACTTTGGTACGCCTACTTCCATATTTTCTGGGTATATTTGCAAAGCTTCCATTCAATTTCTTTAATATCTAGTAATAGTTGGACAAGAAGCACATAAAATGTCTAGCTGCATACATATTTCTAATTTTTTAAGCACCATGTTCTATGATTATTGTAATCCCAGTGGATTGCTTTTTTGGTAAGTCAATCCTTGTTCATCCTTATCAAACATATCATATAGGTTATCCAGGTACTTTTTTCCAGTGAAGGTTTCTAATCTTGGCAGATACCCAACATCATTGACCAGATGAAATTGAATTCTGTCTGAAAAATGGAGGCCAAATTCATGTTTAGTTAAACTGCAATAATTCTGTTCTTCATTCTGGTTATCTTTCTCTTCATGTTCTGGGTATATCCACATAGCTTCCATTCAGTGTATTTCATTTCTAGTAATAACTGGATAAGAAGCACGTTAAAAAACGTCAAGCTTTTCACATATTTTTAATTTTTTGAGCATCATTTTCTATGATTATTGAAATCAAAGAAGAATGTTTTTGGTAAGTCAGTCCTTGTCCATCATTATCAAACAGTTAGTTCCACATCTAGAACAAATTTAAGCATCAATTTTAGAAATTGGAGCCATCCAACTTCGTCATGTAAAGTCAGAAGGCAAGAAAATCCTGTTGTTTCCTAAAAATACCTTAGTGTGCGATTCTGAAGGCTGTTAAGTGGGAGTATATTTTAAATGATTGCACGTACTGCTCGCCCATCTCCTCTCACGTGGTCTCTACCACTTTCTAAAGTTGTGATTTATCATGGATAAAAATCATGATTGCTATATTGCTTCACCCTTAAGGCTGGTTTCCAACTGTTTAAAGTTGAAGTCACTCTGCATATGTTGGATTCATAAAAAATTGATTTGGGCAGCACTGTCTGTCAGCATGAATTTTACTTTAAATTCTTCACGTCTGGTAACTTCTTGCATACCTGACATTTATTTTTGCATAGTTGAAATAACTTTTTTCAACATATCATGTTGTTCCTTACTAACTTTTCTTTAATAGCTGAAATAGCATTTTCATCTTTTAAATTGAGTTTAAAAATGCTTTTAAGGTTAACCACGTATCCTTTTCCCAGTGAAGGTTTCCAATCTTTTGCAGATATCAAACATTGTTGACCACTTTGTTATTGAATTCTGTCTGAGAGGTTGAGGCTGAACTCATGTATGCAGTCAACTTATTTCGTATTAACTCTCTCGATATCATCACCCACTATCATCTCTCTCCTGCTGCCTGCTTCTCTTCCCCACCTGTCTTTTCTTGGCTAAGGGATCTTTGAACAAATGTTTCTTAACAAGTTGTATGTAAATGAAATATTGAGATCCTCATTTTCAGTTTATGATAATAATATAAAGCTTATCCAGAGGTTTTTCACCAATGAAACTTGCGAGTGCATTGCCAATTTTCGATTTCTTCAACCAAGTATTACAGAATTCATTATTTAGTAGTCCTGCAAACGTTCTACGAGTATGTATTATTACATTGTATTTCTAAAAGGCTGCCTTTAGTCTTCAATTTCGTTTTAATGTCATCATTTGAGACTTTAATTCTTGAACATCTGACACGACTGTCTTCAACAGTTCATGTTGTTCGTGTTGATCTTTGGCAAACTTTTCTATGATAGCCTTTATTGCATCTTCCCCTTCCTCTTTTAGAGCCAGTTTATGAATGTCTTTGAGGCTATCCAAGTACTTTTTTCCAGTGAAGGTTTCCAGTCTTTGGCAGATATCCGACATCATCGACCAAGTGTTAGTGAATTCTGTCTGAGATGTGGAGGCTGAGCTCACATGTGCAGTCAAACTGTTTCGGATGGACCTTATTCTTTCGATATCATCACCCACTGTTAACTCTCCTGCTGCAGGCTCTTCTCCCCATTTTCCTTTTGTTGGTTTAGGGATCTTTGAACAAATGTTTCGGATTAACGTGTATGTTAATGAAATGTCAAAGTTTTTATATCCTGAATGCTTAGCATCTATCAAGAGATGTTCTTGCTCTGTGCGCAATCTTTTGTGTACTTGTGATGCTTTAGCTTTCTTTTCAATATCGGATGGAGGCACTTCCATCTCCAGTATATCTCTATATGCCTGATTTAACACATCATTTGTTGCCATTCCAAGTTTTGCGAATCTCGATTGTCCCTCAAGGTCATGTCCACCAGAGGCCACTGGAGTTTTAGGAATGCTCATTTTTGCCTGAAATAGAATGAACCCTTATTAGTGAAATTGGATAAATTAACTTAGTAGATACAAACAGAAGTTTCAAAATTGTGTACATATTTTGTTAACGTTAAATCAGATCTAGAGTTTGTCCAAAATATGATACTGTTCACGTAATACATTTGGCTGTGTATTCTTTTTAGCGCTTTTGGCGGAAAGGAACCGCTAATTCAAGTACAATATGCTAAATGTCTTGCACATACATACATAAATAAAAAGAATGAGAAATGCGGTAATTCAAATTAAAAAACTCGTTCAGAAATCAATTTCCGCCAAATATTGTACGTGTTAAATATAATAAATTTACAGTATTTGTTTTCAGTAAAATTATAATTAATCCTGCAATGATTTTATTTGTGAGCTTAGAAGAATTTACAAATTTAACATTTTCAACAGATTGTGCAATTTTGGGAGAAATGGATGTTATAAGTTCTAAGTAATGTTCATGATTAAAAGAAAAAAAACTAGAACTGTCCAATAGGGACAAATACCCCCGCTGGGTTTTTAAGAGTAGGTGCCAATCAGGCTTGGGGCGAATTACATTGAAAGTAATGCATAACCATTACCATTACTTCAACAATTTGGGCATTAAATTACCATTACCATTATACTATTTTCTTAAAGTAATGCATTACATTACCATTACTTAAGTAAAGTAATGCATTACCATTACCATTACTTTGGGGGGTATTAAAAATAGAATTTTAACATTACTTTGCAATATTTTTTCATCATAAGTATGTATCCACCCCCTTCAAAACTAAACATGATAAATGATAACTCAAATTTGATTTTTTTGTATATAATTACAATGTCAATAACTAACAATCAACGAAAACTTTAAGTTATGAATTGTTAGTTTTATAGTACATGTACAATATCCATTTTTTAAGTAACTATTGAAGTCATAAAGTAATATAACTTTTTGGGCACTTTAACCATTGTTAACCCCTGCCTTCAATATCTATAATTTATAATAAAGCATATAGGCTATTTTGATTACATGTAGTACCTTATGAAAAAAAAATGCATTGACAAACTCTTTGAAAAAGTAGACAGGGTGTACATTTTGTTCTGTGAATCACAGTGAAGCAGCTAGGGAAAACCTGCATGGCTTCTATTTTCTTTGGTACAATTAATTTTTCATTGTCAGTACAAGGTAAATCGATCAGCACAATTAACGTTTTTATAAACACAGTCAGGAGAAAAGGACTGGTAATTTGCAGCACTTCTCCAAACAATGCATTGTTTTAATTAATTGTTACATAAAACAGAGTCCTAGTGTGTTTTGATGACATTCAATAGGAACCAATTATCAGTTTTAAGTGTACATTAATTAGTGTATCTCATATGTGATCTTGTTTAAAAAAATCTTTTAAACTTTTTTTATATAATTCTTATCTGAAATAAATTTGAAAACTTAATTGTAATGTAGGTGTAATTTCAACAGAATAAAAGGTGTATTTGAATAGATATAGAAATGTTATCTAAATAGGTAACTTAACATTTTTTTAATAGCATCATTTGCCAAAAAAAGAATAAAAAATAATAAATTAATAACCTAAACAATAATTTCCATCATCCAAGTCCATTTCAATTTCTTAAAATAGGTACTTATCTTACAAAATAATGCTGTGTAATGCTATGTAATGCCAGCATTACACTGGATTTTATGAAGTAATGCATTACATTACCATTACATGTAATGCAAATTTTTGGGCATTACACATTACTAGCATTACTTTGAGATCATGTAATGCATTGCAATGCATTACCATTACAATTAGCATTACCCCAAGCCTGGTGCCAATTCAGAAAAATTTTATGGATCTAGTAAGGGGTGTTCACTATTGTCTAATAAAGTGCCCTGCCACAGCATGATACGCCCATCAAATATTGTTCGATAATCATAAATTGGTTAGGGTGCAAGAAAATCAAGTAACCTTGATAAACAGATTGACACAGATTTCAATGATCTAATTTCCATTTCTTATCATGTTTAAAATATTGTACATACATCTCTAAGAGACTTACAGTGTAGGGATTAATTAAAACAATTAATACATTATATAATTCTAAACCGGTTGCGTTAGAGCTTAACAAATATCCATCTGCAATTTTAAATTGTTTATTGCATATTTTATGAAATAATGGAAATGTTACAGTCTGATAAAAAAAAATCAAAAATTAATTATTCTTTAGACTATAAAATTCTAAGTGAGACATGACTGCAATTTGTTGCAAATAGATAAAAATTGAAATGTAATTTTTTTCAATGAACACAAGTATAATTAATTTTAATTGTATTATACAATACTAATTCAGTTTTAATCATATTTACTAAAACATCAATTTGTTTTAATTACATTACACCAATTGAAAGATCTTTATCTGAACTACAGCCATCAAGAACTCTTAATTAACACAAGCAACTATAAGGCCATTTCTTTTTGCCCAACTCCCAAGAGATGAATCAAGATAATACTGCATGATGCTCTTACCAGTTAACTCCCGACAATGAACTCATTAATTTCTCTCTAATTTGACATGCACATTTCTGCTATCAAAAATTCTCCTAGACCAGTGCTTGATAATTATGTCCATTGGACAAACTGAATTCCTTTCAAATCATTAGCATTTGTTACAAAATTTGCTGTAAAGTGTATGATAAATATTAAGTTTTTACTTAATTAAGCATTTTTAAATAAGGATACAACTATATTTTTACATTTTTTAGGATTATGAAATTTTAAATTTTAAAGACTTAGTTTTTAAAAAAAAATCACTTAAAGGTCACAGTGAACTTGAAATAGGTTGGGACACACCGTCTTCCCAAGATGCATAAATTGTCCAAGTTTGATGATTGTAAGTCTAATAGTTTTCTAGTTATGAGCCAAACAAAATCACAAAATAAACTAGATGAGATCTCGTCGCAAGCAACGAGTGGGTCTTCCGTCCAATTCTTGATGAGATGAGATAAGATTTTGGTTGCGATTTTCATTCTAAAATAATGATTTACCACAATCAGTAAAAGACATTGAACATTAAAGACTTTTAAAAATCGGCCTTTTGACCCTAACGGCCACTAATTTTAGAAATCAGTCCTCTTTATTCATATCATCTTAAAGCTCTTAAGATTTTGAAGATTTTTTGCTCAACAACTATTCAGAAATTAATTTTAGTTTTTGAGATACATGTATTAGCAAAAGAAATATTTAAGGGCAACCCTTCAACACCCTAATGGGGACGTTAAGCAAAAAATGAAAGGTTGCATATTTTTCAGAACATTATTTTGAACATCTTTTGTTCAATATTGCTTATCAAAATATTTCTCCATTTCGAGATTTAAAGCACCAAATATTTAGCCTTCTAGCCCCTTGTGGCCCCTAAATTTGAACTAACGACATAAAAATAATAATATTTAGATGTAGATGGTTGAGATGAACATCTTTGCTTCAGTAATGTATTACAAAATATTAACTGATGAAGAGTTATCGATTGAAAACTTTTGGACCCTCTTGGGCCCTAATTTGAGTGCCCAGCCCCTTTTTCAGAATCTCATCTTAAAGCCCTTAAGATTTTGATCATTTTGTGTTCAACAACTGTTTAGAAATTCCTTTTCGTTTTTGAGCTATTACCAAAAGAAATTTTTAGGGGCCAACCCTTCAACTCCTTAATGGGGCAATTTAGCAAAAAATGAAAGGTAGCATATTTTTCAGAACATTATTTTGAACATTTTTTGTTCAATATTGCTTATCAAAATATTTCTCCCTTTCGAGATATAAAGCATCAAAGATTTAGCATTCTGGCCCTTTGTGGCCCCTAATTATGTACCATACGACATGGAAATCATAATATATAGTTGTAGATGGTTGAGATGAACATCTTTGCTTCAGTAATGTATTACAAAATATTAACCAATAAAGAGTTATCGATTGAAGACTTTTGGCCCCTCTTGGCCCCTAATTCGAGTGCCCAGTCCCTTTTTCGGGATCTCATCTTAAAGATCTTAAGATTTTGAACATTTTGTGTTCAACAATTGTTCAGAAATTCTTTTTCGTTTTTTAGATATTAGAAAAAGAAATTTTTAGGGGCCAACCCTTCAACTCCTTAATGGGGACGTTTAGCAAAAAATGAAATGTTGCATATTGTGTAGAACATTATTTTGAACAATTTATGTTCAATAATGCTTATCAAAATATTTCTCCCTTTCGAGATATAAAGCATCAAAGATTTAGCATTCCGGCCCCTTGTGGCCCCTAATTATGTACCATACGACATAAGAAATCATAATATAAAGTTGTAGATGGTTGAGATGAACATCTTTGCTTCAGTAATGTATTACAAAATATTAACCGATAAAGAGTTATCGATTAAAGACTTTTAGCCCCTCTTGGCCCCTAATTCGAGTGCCCAGCCCCTTTTTCGGGATCTCATCTTAAAGATCTTAAAATTTTGAACATTTTGTGTTCAACAATTGTTCAGAAATTCTTTTTCGTTTTTGAGATATTAGAAAAAGAAATGTTTAGGGGCCAACCCTTCAACTCCTTAATGGGGACATTTAGCAAAAAATGAAAGGTTGCATACTGTTTAGAACATTATTTTAAACAACTTTTGTTCAATATTGCTTATCAAAATATTTCTCCCTTTCGAGATATAAAGCATCAAAGATTTAGCATTCTGGACCCTTGTGGCCCCTAATTATGTACCATACGACATGGAAATCATAATATATAGTTGTAGATGGTTGAGATGAACATCTTTGCTTCAGTAATGTATTACAAAATATTAACCGATAAAGAGTTATCGATTGAAGACTTTTGGCCCCTCTTGGCCCCTAATTCGAGTACCCAGCCCCTTTTTCGGGACCTCATCTTTAAGATCTTAAGATTTTGAACATTTTGTGTTCAACAATTGTTCAGAAATTCTTTTTCGTTTTTGAGATATTAGAAAAAGAAATATTTAGGGGCCAACCC